TTGGAGACAGACATTCCTGAGTTCAGATCCCTGTTCTGATGTTTATTTCCTGTGTTGCCTCTGGCAAATAACTGATCTCTTAATTTCCTCATCTGTTAAAGGAGGATTATATCTTCTGTAGAGAGTTCTTCTGAGGATCAACAGAAAGTATGTTTGCAAAGCATTTTGCACAGTTCCTAATGCATGGAAAATATTTCATAAAGAGTTACTGCTGCTGTTGCTATCTATCCAAATTTTCTCCACTTCACTGCTATTTTCCCCGCATATGCCATCATCAACTTTCATTTGAATTATCATAACCACCTTTTAATGGATTTTTCTAATGGTAGGTTTTTCTCCCTAGTGCCTCCTTCTTAGTCTATCAAAATAACATTTTTAAAATAAAAATCTGATCTGCAACTTCTTAACTATTCAACACACTTCTTGAAGATGAGGAGTATGTCTTGTTCAGCATTGTATTTTATTTTCTATGCTTAGCGAAATGTCTAATGAATAATAGGTGAACAAGTTTTGGGATGAATATATGAGTTAACAAAGTAAGGAAGGTGACAGGTGGAGAAGAGTTGGAGGTTTTCCAGGTACAATGATGTCATTAAAGCTAGCACCTGTATCCTTTTTGAATCCTTTTATATCTTATATTTAAAATGCTTCTTTATCTTGCATTCATGGGGAGATGCTCCTATCTGTGGGGAAATGTTTACTGAATAAGTAATTATAGAATCCTTGATAGCAAATATATTTTAAGGATGAAAATCCTTATGTCAGGGGGGTGGACAGCGAGGGGGCAGGGAGTGGTGGCAGGGGAAGGTGGGACATCCTAGCCAAGAGAGTGCCCTCTGCCAAGGCACGATGGCATGAAATAGGCTGGTGAGTTATGGGACCCAGAAAGGAGAACAGGAAGCCAAAAAACTAGCCCCGCATATTTGGGAACTGTTCGTCTACAGTGGGGGTAGGTATGGAGTAAATTTTGGGGATGGTAGTTGGTCTAGGGTCAGAATAACCTTACAACAAATATACTGCGAAATGGCCCTTGCTCTTGTCTACTGGTTTCTAGAATTCATGTTGAGTAGCTTGGCATGCGTCAGTGCATTTTCTGTTCACCATTGATTGAAACGTGAATGTGAGGCACACATTTATGGGTCCTCAGCTCACGTTTTCCCATTTGCAACACAATGAATCTCCCCAATCCTCTGGGTGTAAATATTGCCGTCACCATAGGTCGAAATGGAGGAGGAGAGGGTTAAAATATGTATGTTTAAGTCATACAGTAGATAATAGAGAGCTTGATTTTAAACTCAGTTTTTCTGCCGTTTTCGTTAAACTTTGTCTGATGTTACAGACATGGTCAAAAACTGAAAGTTATAATTAAGCAAAACGGAATCATTCAAGGGGTTTCACCAAACAGCATTACAGGATTCCACTTCGGAAAAAGAAACAAAATGTTATTTGGAAGGTGGATAAACACCTGTTTACTGAGGAACTTCTACATCATGTCCAGTAATTATCTGGACAAGAAAAACGGGACATAATCTATATACTTAGGTTAACTGCCTGAGTAACAGGTAAGTCTTTAACTAAATATGCGGGTGAAATGAAATTTGAAAAATATTTTAATTCTTATGGCACCAGGCAGAATCAATCTCTGGAATGTTTGCCAGTATTTCTCATGTCAATTTTCATGTCTAATAATATGCTACTTAGCATGAGACCATCCTCAAAGTTCCCTGCTGTAGACACTCTCACTGAATTTTACAGAAGATAAAATTAAGCTTCATGGAATTACAGGATTTTTTCCAAGGTCATGGCATGAACTGAAAAAATCAAGATGAAAACCTAGACATGTCAAACCCCAGCTCTGTCCTTTCTCTCCACTAGACCAGGCAGTTTCCCTGCCCAGTCAACTGTTGTTTTTTCTAGACACTGGTCACCCACAAAATCCCTTGTGAGACTCCACTGTCATGTCCAACTCACAAAAACCCTATACTGTAAAAGCAAACAAAACTATTTCAGGTATATTGAATCTACAGAAGATAAATTCAATCTATGAAACATCAGAGATTCCAAATGTGCTCCAATTCAGCCTAACATCCCCTTTCACCCCATAAAAAATTGTGGTGAGATGCTAAAACTTCTGAATTTCCTACTTGACATTTTAAATATCCCAGCTGCTCTTCTAACAACCAATGTCTCATGAGTACCCAATCATAACTTAGGAAAGTGGGACCAGATGCCCTGCCAAGTGCTTACAGTTTAATAGTAAATAAATGAGTCCCTGGTAGTTTTCTTACAACTAGCTGGGGAACCCATTCCCAGCTGCTAGGCCCACTAACAGCTGAGTAAATACATTGCTAGAAGCTGCAGCCAGAGAATTACCATCCAGTGCCCATAGCCCTGGATGTACCAGGACTGCTGTTGTTTACCCATTAGCAGGTGGAAAATTACCAAAGCCCTCACTACTAAATCCCCTACTAAGTTGTCTGTAAAAAAGATTTTTCTATTTATTGAACAGGAGAATTATAGCCAGGACCCTGTTGATTTAGATAAAAGTAAATTAAAATCTCGAGTTGTACCCAAAGTCTGTTTAAATGCTATAGCCTCATTAATAAGCCTACAGTCTTGGGCAGCTTGTCCATTCCTGCACACCTGTATGTATCAGCCACAAGCAGATGAGGGTTAAAGCAGCAAGCACTCAGTAATTTTTTATTCCTTTATCACGTTACGCATTAACCTACTGAAAAATGATGTTTTGGGCCCCAGGCAATTATGCTCAGTGAGAGTATTTGGGGATGGATAACGCTGTCCCCATCTTTATAATATAACATGATATAAAGAAATCGTTAGGGTCTGTGTGATACATAAAACAGTAGACATATATTCAGGCCAAAGAAGAGATCTCTCTAGAAGGTTAAGCAAGGCATCACCCAGCAGGGGATGTCTGAGTATGGTTTTAAGGATGTTTGAATGGGTTGTGTAAGTGTGTTGGAGAAGTGTGGATATCCGTTGAAAAATGTTATTCCATGAAAGAAAGCAATACATAAGAAGGAACGGAGGAGTAAAACAGCACAGAATATTCCAGAAGTCACAGAAGTTGGAAATGATATAGAAACAAGACTATGAGTTGCACATAAGTGGATATGTGGCCTCTTAACTCTATCAATACAAATTACTTAGGTCAAGGCTGAATTCAGCCCCTAGACTGGCATCCAGAAGGTGCAGGTTCCAGCACAAGCCCAGTGTGTCCTGCTGCTAAGTAGGATGCAATCCTTTACAAATGCCACAGTATTCTTTCTCAGACACCTATTAGACACATTCTCTGCTCCTATAGTTTTCACCTAATGCTATTAACAGCATAATTTTTTCTTCAGAGTAAGAATTAATTCCCCCAGCACCCCCCCCCACCCACCCAGCCCATGATTCTCTAATGCATGTTTTGTCTCCATTGCAGTTGCTGTTGGAGTCTGGCCTGTTAACTAGAGCAGGAGCTTCTGGAGTGTAGGAGCCATTTATTCTGTATTTAAAGAGCTTCTTTTCAGGCCGGAATCTCTGGTATATATTGATGATACGTAAAGAAATATAAATAGAACAGTGTTTTCCTTCAAGGAGTATATAATCTATTAAATTCTAGGCAAAAAGCAGAAAAACAAGGACTATGCAATATGTTACAAGTTATTTGTCAGAGGTAAGTACCAGCAGCTGATGGGACAATGGAAACAACCATTCCAGCCTGGCCGTTTCAGCAGTCAAAGGAGATATCAGTCTTAGTGGTTTCCTCTTCATCCCAGTGCCAATCCCAGGGACATGGGCAATATCCGTCACATTGCTGTGATAATATTGAGTCATGGAATAAGTATTCAACTGCAGTCTGTAATCCTGAGTTCATATCCATTTCTCTAATACTAATAGCTGGACAAATCTGGATCTTTTTTCTATTAATTTTTTTGAATATCTTAATTTTGCAAAGAGCTTTCTAGTTCTCAAAGTGCTTTCATGTGTATTGACTCATGTTCGTTTATGATAGACTCATTTACAGGTGCAAAAACTGGGCTTTGGAGACAACAGAGCAGAGTGTGGGCTTGAAGTTGGGATTTTCTCTTAATTTCAAGGCCCAGGTTTTATTTCCGGCTTTCACGAATGATTTCTAAGGCACTGTACAGCTCTTAAAACTCCATATTCTGGATTTGAGATTTTCTGTTCTCAAGGGAGTATTACAAACTCATCCTTATCACTTCTTCATCCCAGCCACATTTGAAAGAATAATGGCCTTGACAGATGTCATTTTTGTTTTGTCCTGAACAGAAATAGCAATGGTTCTTCCTGCTGACAGGAGCTCCTCTCCCTGACCTCAACACACATTTCCACCTCCAGACGACAAAGGCCCTGAGGATATCTGTTCCCAGGCAATGCCGGCATACTTCCATGGTTTTTGAGATGTAATAATATTCTGCACTGTTTGGTGGTGACTGTACAGACCTTTCCTTTACAGTTTTCAGAAAGGTTCAAATCTTGTTCACTAAGTTTTCCTTAATGATCATATGTCTCTTTTAGTTTGACGTGTATGCTGTGCTGTGTTGGATATTGTCAAAGACAGTGGACTTGGAGCAAGAGGGCCTTGTTCTGGGTCCTGAGCTGATGCCTTGGGACTTGGGGCCATTGATTTGGCTTCCTCAAGTCTTGACCATCAATAAAACAAGAATAATAATAGTAAATCTGTCCTATCTGCTACTTAGTGTTGCTGTGATGATCGACGGCTATAAAAATGCTCCACACTGTTATTCCTGTAGTTTTATTAGTAGCTGAATTATTGTAGAATTGGGCTAACATACCTAGAAGAAAATTAATTTGCAGTGTGATTCATTCAAGTACATTTTGCAATGACTCTTTTTGTCTTTCTGTAGTCCAAGGTGACTATGCTAAGAGAAGGGCAGACTCACTTCTGCAGATTTCAGAAAGGAAGGAACAAAATAAACATTTATGAGTCTCAACATTTTCCAGATGTGTGCTAGGCATATGACATTTAATTTATTCTGAGCAACACATGCTACAAAGCAGTTTAATTATGGCCATTTTATAATTGAGGGAGCTTAATGGTAGCGAGGTTAAGAATCAGATTTAAAGTCAGCAATTTGCTAATATCTAATATTTTATATATTACATACACAGAGAGAGAGAGAGATACATGGTCTTCTCATATAAGTATCAAGACTGAGATCAAATCCAGCCCTTCAGACTCAAAGCCCAGTGAGGTGAGTCAACAGTAATCATTTTGAGAGCTGATATTTGTGTTTGAATTTTACCTGTCTCACTTGGTTGGTTTAAAGATAATAATAAAGAATTAGACAAAATCTCTGGGTTTCCATTTCTTGCATCTGGAAAAATGATTCTTACTTGCCTCCCACCATGACAAGGATCCATGGCACACTGTCTGGCATGGAATCATGTTCAGTGAATGAGAGTTTCCTTTTCTCCTTGACCATCTGCATCCGTTCTGGAGTCACACATGAGCTGAGGTCTTCAGATTGTCCATTCCTCAGTTGTCAGGCCCCTGCTTATTCATCCTGGCATCTCCATGAGATCCACAGTGCTGGGGAAATAATATGGAACTGGGGTAAGTTGACCTGAACATTGGACTTGGAACTTGAAAACTTGGGTTTAAGTCTAGGTTCTACCTGAGTGACATTAAACAGAGCTCTTCTCCCTCCTGGGATTTGATTTCTTTTTCCATGAAATAATTCCTCTGTCACAGGTTTATTGTAAGTAAGTGAGATGAAGCCCATTGTCAAAGTACTTTAATAACTCCAAATTTGAGATAATATCATGAATGATTGAATAAACTTTGTTACCACCTGAAATAAGGCACCTGATTTAAATTTGGTCTAATGCTAATTCCCTCATTTTAACTTTCCTACCTATCTTTAAAAAAATTAAATTGACACATAATAATTGTACCAATTTATGGAGTACAATGTGGTATTCTGATACTCATATTCAATGTATAATGATAAAATAGGGCAATTAGCACATCTATCACCTCAAACATTTCTTATTTCTTTGTGTTGAAAACATTCAAAATCTTTTCATCTAGCTATTTGAAAATATAGAATAAATTATTATTAGCTATAGTCACCCTACTGTGCTTTAAGAGCATTAGAACTTATTCCTCTTCGTTGTAATTTTGTATCCATTAACCAACTTCTCCCTACCCCATATCCCTCTCTTCCCCTCTACACTTCTCAGCCTTTAGTTACCCTACCCTCTACTTTTATGAGATCAACTTACTTAGCTTCTACATATGAGTGAGAAGATGCAGTATTTATCTTTCTGTGTCCAACTTATTTCATGTAATGTAATGTCCTCCAGTCTCATTTGTGTTGCTGCAAATGACAGGATTTTATCCTTTCGTTTATTCTTATTCTTCTTGGGTTTTGGAGGTATGACATTAGTCTACATCTGGAAAACACTCAGGGCTGTGTAAAACCAGTGAACGAAACAGCTGATCACATTAATTACAGGAAACCTGTTGAGTTTGAGGGTCATGCTTTCCAGTGCTGATGATTTAGTGAGTGGGTTCCACTGCTTTCTGCTTTCTGGTGTTCTTACATATTTGCTTTCTGTCATTGTTGCTTTCAACAAAGCCTACTGTCCTCAGTAAATTGGGAAATAAATCAGGTGATGAAGATAAATGTTAAGTATATATTTGTGTCTAATTGAAGCCATCCAACATAATGAAGGGAAGTAGAAAATGTGAAGTTACCTTTTCATTTTAAAATGTCAAGACCAAATACTAATGAATCAGATGAATTTCAAAGGACCTTGAGAACCCATCCGCATCTTAAAAGAGAGATCATGCGTATTTGTACTGAACTCACATACAGTCTCCCAGAATCTTACTGCAAAAGTCATCATAACTGAGAGGTTTATGAAATTGCATTGAGCTTTTGTCATTTAACAAGTTTGGACTTGTCAGCTATTGTAGTCATCAATTTTAAGTGATATATGGGAGAGGATAAAAAGCAATGCTGATTGCTTTTCCTTGCAATGATAGTCAAGAATTGTTATAATATGCGATGATATCAGTATGATAATCAAAGATTTTGTATAATAGAAAACCCAATTTTAGCATGGTGTGTAGATAAACGGATTAAAGTCAACTTTCTTTCCAAACTTATCAACATTTATAAAATAAGAACTTTACCCCAGAACTTAAAAAATAAATAAATTTACCAAAAAATACAAGGGATGTGACAATCTCTTGAATGTCAGTTTACGGAATCAGAGAGAATCGCTAGATAGCCTTTTTGTTTCCCTTGTTTGAACTTTTTCCAGAATATTGGTGGAAACTTTATAATTAGGTATAATACACGGAATCTGCTCAAATTTTATAGGAGAGGAAACAACTGGGTGACTTCCAAAGAATAACTCATTATTTCTTCAGCAACTGTTATGTGTTAGACACTTGAGAATACATGGAGCTATCTTAAGTATTTGTAAATATAGTACCTCACTTATTCCTCAAAAACCCCAATACGAATATTTGCCTCCACTTTACATATGAAGAAATTTGGGGCTGTAGGAGATACCCGGCTTCCTAGGGCTATGTACTCAGTGTCAAAGCTGGGATCAGAACTCAGGTGTCAAACATCAGATACATTATTCTTTCCTGTAGAGCAAGCACAACATGTGTTTGAACAAAGGAATGAAAAAATGAAAAGATTTCCTTAGGAAAAGCATAAAACATATAACTGTAAGACTATAACTTCTTTTGACATATCAAGAACAATATAGTGTTTTTCCTACAATGTATGTAAATTGAGTAGTAGCTGAATCCAACAAATGCAGCGCATACGTTTCCACCAGTTCTATCAAATATCATGTACATAACTGTGCCTAATAATAATGTGACACCCTCTGTTTGATTTTAAAATGCATGTCCTCATTATTTCATTTGGTCTGTTTATACAGCCTGCATGGGTTCATGAGCAAGTTAAAACAAGCATTTGCCCGAGTTCTTTCTTGTGCACACACTTTTTCTCTCCACAATCTGAGACACGGAGCACTGACTTCTCCGTAAAATCCCATGCTTCAGAGTCCAACGGCTCACCTGCTGCAGTTTGAGTATGAGGCAAATAAGGTCAAGATGGGATTTATGAATCATCTCTTCCACCACCCTTTATGGGTAAATTCGAGCTAAAAACCAAACCCATCTGGCATTGACTCAGGGTGGAACTTCCTGAAGCAGTGAAAGGAAAAGGAAAACTATTTAAAGTCATGTCTTTTAAAATAGAGTTTGGCCTCAGTGACCCTAAGACATGATAAGTAAGAAACTCAGCATCCAGGGCCACAGAACTTTTTGGTGGAAAACCAAGATGCATCCTTCTGTCTTACTGGTTTTAGTTTCTTTCTATCCACATTCATATTAGGTGATCAGAGAAATCCTGCTCCGTGAAATATCAGTTTGTGTCTCTTTCTTACAGGTCTCCTTTTGGAGAAGGAAATCCATTCATTGATTAATCAGTCAACAGGTATTGATAGGGAAGGTTGGAAGTCACCATCATTTTTAATATTTACTACGTATATGATACAACTATGTGGTTCTATATATTTAATTTTACTTAATTTTAAAAAGAAAAAGAAAATGGAGCCATATGAAAATATATGAGAAAAGATCTCTGGTAAAGGTAAATGCATGAACAAATATGAAAAGCAGTATTATTATAATTTAGTCCCATCACTCTACTTTTCATGCTTTTATAAGATTTAAAAGATAAAAACATGAAATAATTTTAAAATTGGCCAGGCATGGTGGTGTGTGCCTGTAGTCCTAACTATTTGATGGCTAATGTGGGACAATCACTTGAGCCCAGGAGTTCGAGGCTGCAACAAGCTACAATCGCACCACTGCATTCCAGCCTGGGTGACCAAGTGAGACCCTGTCTCTAAAATAATAGTAATGATAGTAATTATGATTATAATTATCTGTTAATGGCTACACAATACATGAAGTTGTAATTTGTGGCATCAGTAACATATAGGATGGCGAGTGCCAGGAACTGGGGAAAGAGTGAATAAGGAGTTATTGTTTAGTGGGTACAGTGTATGTCTTTGAAGATGAAACAAGTTCTGGGGACAGACGGTGGTGATGGCTGCACAACAACGTAAACAGACTTAATGCCATTGAACTGTACACTAAGAATGGGTTAAGAGAGTAAATTTTGTTACGTGTATTTTACTACAATTTTATAAAAACATTAAAAAGAAATACACTTGAAGTAAGTATTGTGGTTTTCATTTTACAGATGCCTAAACTGAGATCTAGAGCTGTTCAGTGACGTGTGGTAGTCCCCCAGCAAGCCATGGCCAGAGCTTGGACACTTCATTGAGACCTCCATAAAAACAACCCTAACCAACAAAAAGTGGAACCATACAGACACACCATCTGCATAATAAAGTCAATTATTCTTTCTCACAGTATTCTGTAGGTGAGACTCTTTTTTAAAGGAAATAAGAGTTGTAGGACTTGGGAGGTATATAAACATCTCAATTTGAGAGACGAAAGGAAATTCCATCTCCTTTTCAATACATTCTGTTGTGTTCTCACTGAATGAAATTTAGAGATCGAAAGCATCATTGATTTAGTTCACAGTTGTCTCTTAGGCACAGGAAATAAAGGTGTCATCAAATGTAATGTCCTTCTCAGAAGCCCCATCAGCACCATGTACATAACTGTGACTTTGGACAGATAGGTCATTGTGAGCCAGTATTCTCTTCTGAAAAGTTACAATAAAATCACACTAGCCTTGCCCTTCCTGTTATCAGAGTGATGATATTTATTATAACAGTAGTTTATAATTCCCCAAAGTGTCTATGTATAGGATTTTTTTGTAGGATTATTATTCTTGTTAAGCACTGACATTATCCACAGCCAGTAGACCCAGTGAACCCTGTCTTTGTCTGTGCCATCACCTTTAAATCAAACTACCACCAGGTTCACTATTTGTTAATGCCCAAAGCAGCCATCTAGTACTGCAAAGTGGCTATGTGCAGAAAAAGCTATTTCATCACAAACCATGTGGTAAGTCATCTGAGAAAGCTATCCCCCCACCCCAAGCATCCTGTGATGAAGGATAACATTTATTTCATTATTATTCACTCGTGGGACAGCAACTGGGCAGGAAGTGGAGCCCAATCTTACAGACAGTTGATTCAGTCTCCAACCATCTGCCGATGAGGACTAAGGCCCTGCCTCTTTAGCTAGCAGGAACTCTTGAACAGCAGCTGGAGAGATGAGAAGCAGCCCGGTTCAGTGAAAAGTTCATCAAGCTGGGAATGAAGACCCGTGGTCTCGTATCCCAGCCCCACCACAGATGGATTCCCTGACTAAATATGGACAAGGCATTTTTCTTTTCTAGGCTTCAGGTTTCTCCTCTGCAAAATGAGGTATCTGAGTTAGGTTCTTCCTTAGGGAAAGGAGCTCCTCCTTAATGATCATCTAACATTTCCTAGTGGTCTACATACATTACCAAATTTTAATATACAATTAGCAAGGTAAAGGTCATCACCCTGTTTTATAGACTGAGATGCTAA